AAAAAAAAAAAAAAGAAAAAAAAAGAAAAAAAGCACTTGTCCTCCACATGTAGGTGGGTCTCATCCAATCAGTAGAAGACAAAGACTGAGCAGCCTTAGGAAGAAAGGATTCTGCAGCAGAAAGCCTCTGGTTCTGGACTGCAACATCAAATTCTCTCTGTCTCTAGCCTGTCGGCCTGCCCTGCCCTGCACACTAACTTGCTATGACTCACTCTCCCCCTAAATCACATTGGTTTCATTTCTCTGGAGAATCCTATGGTAGATTGTGATGTTTCTTTAAATACTGTAATCTGCTGAAAGACTTCTGGAAAATTTTTTCCCAAAATGCCCTAACACACTATTTTTTTGGGGTGAGTACCAGGAATCAAATTCAGGACCTTGCGCTGGCCAGGCAGATGCTGTACCCCTGAGCTACATACCTGGCCCCCCAATGTACTATTTATTAAAAAAAGAGAAAAGGTTCAGTCTTTATCAATTAGACTTCCAATATGTTCTAGTGGGATGAAGGTTCATTTTTAACTCCTTGGAATTTTACTTTCAGGCTTATTTTCTAGAATGACAGACACTTTGCATTAAGTTTAGGGAAAGTTAGCTGTCAAGCAACAGTGATACAATGCCAGGCATGGTGGTGCCTGCCTATAATCCCAGCACTTAGGAAGCTGAGGTAGGAGGATCAAAACAAGTTCAAAACCACCTTAGACTTCAGTGGGTTTGTTCAAGGTCAACTTGAACTACATAGTGAGACCCTAAGAATAAAACAAAACAAACACTGATACACTACTTTAAATGTACTGAAATTCATCAATGCTTTACCTCCTAACTGCTTTCTCTGGTTGAAGATAAAAAGCATGCTTGGTATCATATAATGTTATCAATGGGGGGAGGGGCAGGGGAATAAAGTAAAGTTTCATTTAAAATTTTGTTCCTTTGCAATAACATTCTTCGTATGTTGTTAAAAATGTACTCATTTAAAATATGCCCTCCTAACTTGGGATGACACTCTCTGAAAAATACACTTTCTTTCTCCATCTAACCACTGCTGAACACGCAGTAGGCACCCAATGATGCCACACTGCCATATGAGTGGAGGCCAGCATGAGGCCAACCCTGAGGTATGTGCATTTGGGTAAAAGGAGAAAGCAACTGAAGCAGGTAAGGAAGTGAGACAAGGCTTTATGGGCAGAAGAAAAGATTACATTGTCAGCTGCACGAGGGGCTAGGTTTCAGCGGTCCCTTAAAGAGCAGTGTCAGCAGTATATGAGAGGACTGGTCTAGAAGCAGTAGGTGGAATGTGAGAGGATGGGTCCAAAAGCAAAGCAGCATAGGGAATGTGAGAGGACCGGTTCAGAGGCAGTGTGATAGTGTGAGAATGAGTCTAGAAGGAGCATAGGGGAGCAAGAGAGGATAGGTTTAGAAGTATGTTGGCATATGAGTGGGGCCAGGCACTGCCCATGGAGTCCATGTGCACTGTATGAAGGAACATAATCGACAGTGAGAATTTTGGGGCTGGGATTTAAGAGAAACATGAGCCCATGATGAAGGCTCAGCACCATGCACATGGAGATGCACATTAAGGTTGGACTTGTCAAGCTATGACACTGTCCTCCCTAAGTTTTCTATGGACAAGAGTTCAGTGGGCTCAGGGTAGCCAGCTCTGACGTACACTCACCACACCCAGTGCTGATTCTGTGAAGTGGGATGCGATGTGCATCTGAGGAAGGGAAGCCCAGGGGAGCAATGGGAATTATGAACTGAGCAGTGTAGCATTTCAGAACAAAAGACGGTGGTCAGTGGAGCCATACCCCATCAGGAAGAGGAGAATAAGGACTGACAGGCCCCTCAGGGTCA